GTTTGTTATGGTTTGTTCAAGCCCGAAAGAGAACTCGATACTGACGCGCTCTTTTCTGTGGGTCGTGTGTGTGTGTGTGTGTGTGTAATAGGCAGCGCGGTCTCTTTAGTCTTAAAAGCATTCACATTAATAAGAGCGTGATCATACAACGCTAGTCAACGGGTGACAGAAAAACGGATAGGATATACTGCGTAATTGTGTTAAATATTTTTAACACTTTAAACTTTTTTTTTTTGCAGTGCCGCGGTGGGCAAGAGATGAAACCGGTGCTGCGACCGAACACCGGTAACACCGACTATCGTAGCAAGCCTGGGGTTGAAGGGTGAGTGTACTGTAGGTGTGTGTACTGTAGGTGAGTGTACTGTAGGTGTGTGTACTGTAGGTGAGTGTACTGTAGGTGTGTGTACTGTAGGTGTGTGTACTGTAGGTGTGTGTACTGTAGGTGTGTGTACTGTAGGTGTGTGTACGTGTGTGTACTGTAGGTGTGTGTACTGTAGGTGTGTGTACTGTAGGTGTGTGTACTGTAGGTGTGTGTACTGTAGGTGTGTGTACTGTAGGTGTGTGTACTGTAGGTGTGTGTACTGTAGGTGTGTGTACTGTAGGTGAGTGTACTGTAGGTGAGTGTACTGTAGGTGAGTGTACTGTAGGTGTGTGTACTGTAGGTGTGTGTACTGTAGGTGTGTGTACTGTAGGTGTGTGTACTGTAGGTGTGTGTACTGTAGGTGTGTGTACTGTAGGTGTGTAGGTGTGTGTACTGTAGGTGTGTGTACTGTAGGTGTGTGTACTGTAGGTGTGTGTACTGTAGGTGTGTGTACTGTAGGTGTGTGTACTGTAGGTGTGTGTACTGTAGGTGTGTGTACTGTAGGTGTGTGTACTGTAGGTGTGTGTACTGTAGGTGAGTGTACTGTAGGTGAGTGTACTGTAGGTGAGTGTACTGTAGGTGTGTGTACTGTAGGTGTGTGTACTGTAGGTGTGTGTACTGTAGGTGTGTGTACTGTAGGTGTGTGTACTGTAGGTGTGTAGGTGTGTGTACTGTAGGTGTGTGTACTGTAGGTGTGTGTACTGTAGGTGTGTGTACATACGTGCGCAGATGTGCAATATGTGCATACACACAGTCAGACACACAGGCTCTCTCTCTCTCAAATATAATGATAATGATAATGATATATATATATCTTTTTTTTATTTTATTTGTTATATTTTATCATATCATTTATATCACAAAACTGTTTTGAGCATGTGCTACCGCTCTCGCGCTCTATTTCAGTCACAATACAGACAGACAGCAGACGACAACAAGCAAACCATGAGTCTGATAAAGCAAACAATTACTGAGGGAAAACTTATGACAGTTCCAAATGATGCAGGAAAAGCTGCAATCTGGAAGCATTATGATCTTGTCGTTTCAACCAGTAAAGAGCCCAGTGGTTACAAAGAGTATAGAAGAACAAGAGGCGAAACTCTGATGCTTTTTTGGTAACAGCCACTAGGTGGCGCTTCGGTAGCGCGGCCGCCATTTTGGGGTGAAAATTCCAACTGGAGTGACTGAACAACAGCACAGATAACAGTTTTCTGAGGTAGTTTTTTCTTGCATTAGTGAGTATTTCCATTGTATGCAACTTTACACATTTACTACTATTATTAGTTACCAACTGCACTAGGCCTGAAATATATTTTGTATGTTTTAATCCCCTGGATCATGCTACAAACATGATGATCTTATAGAACATGATGCACTGCTGTGTCCGTTATCATATAACGTTAATTGCCACTTTGGACAGTGGCTGTGTTTTTTTGTTTACATAGTCTTGCTTTAACGGTCATTAATATAAGATAGTACTGCAAAAAACAGTTTACTGTAAAGCTATTCTATTGCTGTTATATATTTATTGTCCAACATTTACATTTTAGTACAATTTATTTGCTGAATTCATTTATTTCATTGATAACTTATTTTTGTATGTAACGTAATGTGTACCTTCTGGGAAACGGTCTAACGTTATTATAACTTTATGAACTTACATCACTTTATTCTTACCTGTCACACTTAATGTGGAGAGTAATATAATTAATTAAATCCTTGAACTTCTCTGTCTCAAGTTATGTGGGGGAACGCCTGGTTAAGTAGCAACTTCTTTTTAACGGATATAACGTTAACTGTTGTGAGTTAAAATAATCACCTAATTATTTCAAACTAAAAATGACCTCTGCACTGGACTAATATATGTATAATATATGACTGCCGAGTCGCTTTCACCCCAAAATGGCGGACGCGTAGGGCTGCTGCTGGCGCTGGTGTTGCAATGGAACGTTCTATTGGCTTTCACTTCTTGTCAATATACGTTCTTTGGTGGTTACGTGCAGTGTAGAGCTTGCAGAGCTGTCTTGGTGTATGACAGCAAAAAGACAGGTACATCTGAGAAGGACGTTTGTGTAAATAGTTTTGCAACAGTGCGTGAACTTTTTAAAGTTTAAAGTTTGAGTTCCAGAGAAATTTGTGACTGTTACACCTGTTCGACCACAGCAAAGTTACGTAATTGGTAAGTTTCTTCTCTTACTGCTGTGCTGCTGATAGGGCCGCTGCGCCTACATGTATTTGTTTAATATGTCAAGCAATCATTAAATACAACATAGCATATTGCAAAAATGGTATTTGCTGTGAGAAACAGAATGGAGCTCGGGTTCGGTTCGGGCTTAATATGTAAATGTGATTGTCGGGTCGGGTTAAATGATCGCGGGTTCGGGCTTCAGATTAAAGCCCGTGCACTGCGTGCAGACCTCTAGTGTGTACTGCAGGTGTGTGTATCGCAGGTGTGTGTGTACTGCAGGTGTGTGTATCGCAGGTGTGTGTGTACTGCAGGTGTGTGTATCGCAGGTGTGTGTACTGCAGGTGTGTGTATCGCAGGTGTGTGTGTACTGCAGGTGTGTGTATCGCAGGTGTGTGTACTGCAGGTGTGTGTATCGCAGGTGTGTGTACTGCAGGTGTGTGTATCGCAGGTGTGTGTATCGCAGGTGTGTGTATCGCAGGTGTGTGTGTACTGCAGGTGTGTGTACTGCAGGTGTGTGTATCGCAGGTGTGTGTACTGCAGGTGTGTGTATCGCAGGTGTGTGTGTATCGCAGGTGTGTGTACTGCAGGTGTGTGTATCGCAGGTGTGTGTACTGCAGGTGTGTGTATCGCAGGTGTGTGTGTATCGCAGGTGTGTGTACTGCAGGTGTGTGTATCGCAGGTGTGTGTACTGCAGGTGTGTGTATCGCAGGTGTGTGTACTGCAGGTGTGTGTATCGCAGGTGTGTGTACTGCAGGTGTGTGTATCGCAGGTGTGTGTACTGCAGGTGTGTGTATCGCAGGTGTGTGTGTATCGCAGGTGTGTGTACTGCAGGTGTGTGTATCGCAGGTGTGTGTACTGCAGGTGTGTGTATCGCAGGTGTGTGTGTATCGCAGGTGTGTGTACTGCAGGTGTGTGTATCGCAGGTGTGTGTACTGCAGGTGTGTGTATCGCAGGTGTGTGTACTGCAGGTGTGTGTATCGCAGGTGTGTGTATCGCAGGTGTGTGTGTACTGCAGGTGTGTGTACTGCAGGTGTGTGTACTGCAGGTGTGTGTACTGCAGGTGTGTGTACTGCAGGTGTGTGTATCGCAGGTGTGTGTATCGCAGGGGTGTGTGTACTGCAGGTGTGTGTATCGCAGGTGTGTGTGTACTGCAGGTGTGTGTATCGCAGGTGTGTGTGTACTGCAGGTGTGTGTATCGCAGGTGTGTGTGTACTGCAGGTGTGTGTATCGCAGGTGTGTGTACTGCAGGTGTGTGTATCGCAGGTGTGTGTATCGCAGGTGTGTGTACTGCAGGTGTGTGTATCGCAGGTGTGTGTATCGTGTGTATCGCAGGTGTGTGTATCGCAGGTGTGTGTACTGCAGGTGTGTGTATCGCAGGTGTGTGTATCGTGTGTATCGCAGGTGTGTGTATCGCAGGTGTGTGTATCGCAGGTGTGTGTATCACAGGTGTGTGTATCGCAGGTGTGTGTATCGCAGGTGTGTGTATCGCAGGTGTGTGTACTGCAGGTGTGTGTACTGCAGGTGTGTGTATCGCAGGTATCGCAGGTGTGTGTACTGCAGGTGTGTGTATCGCAGGTGTGTGTACTGCAGGTGTGTGTACTGCAGGTGTGTGTACTGCAGGTGTGTGTACTGCAGGTGTGTGTATCGCAGGTGTGTGTATCGCAGGTGTGTGTATCGCAGGTGTGTGTATCGCAGGTATCGCAGGTGTGTGTATCGCAGGTGTGTGTATCGCAGGTGTGTGTGTACTGCAGGTGTGTGTATCGCAGGTGTGTGTACTGCAGGTGTGTGTATCGCAGGTGTGTGTATCGCAGGTGTGTGTACTGCAGGTGTGTGTACTGCAGGTGTGTGTACTGCAGGTGTGTGTACTGCAGGTGTGTGTATCGCAGGTGTGTGTATCGCAGGTGTGTGTATCGCAGGTGTGTGTATCGCAGGTATCGCAGGTGTGTGTATCGCAGGTGTGTGTATCGCAGGTGTGTGTGTACTGCAGGTGTGTGTATCGCAGGTGTGTGTACTGCAGGTGTGTGTATCGCAGGTGTGTGTACTGCAGGTGTGTGTATCGCAGGTGTGTGTATCGCAGGTGTGTGTACTGCAGGTGTGTGTACTGCAGGTGTGTGTATCGCAGGTGTGTGTATCGCAGGTATCGCAGGTGTGTGTATCGCAGGTGTGTGTATCGCAGGTGTGTGTATCGCAGGTATCGCAGGTGTGTGTATCGCAGGTGTGTGTACTGCAGGTGTGTGTATCACAGGTGTGTGTATCGCAGGTGTGTGTATCACAGGTGTGTGTATCGCAGGTGTGTGTACTGCAGGTGTGTGTACCGCAGGTGTGTGTATCGCAGGTGTGTGTATCGCAGGTGTGTGTATCGCAGGTGTGTGTATCGCAGGTGTGTGTATCGCAGGTGTGTGTGTACTGCAGGTGTGTGTACTGCAGGTGTGTGTACTGCAGGTGTGTCACCTGGGGGAAGTCGTTGATCTCCAGCTCCTCCTCGTATCTCTTGACGGTCTCGCTGTTGTCGTTGGCCTGCCGCTCCTCCTCCAGCTTCTCCACCGGCGTGTAGTTCAGCTTAGCGTTGATCTTCTCCGCCTGCTGCTCTGCGATGGTCTTAGCGGAGACCGAGGGCGCGATCATCGTCCCGCCGCGCAGGATAGCGTTCGTGGCCTGCTGCATCACGTCCTGAGGCCACACACACACACACACACACAGTTCAGTGTCGTGAACACAGCGGTTTATCTGTGGCTGTGCCTCACACCTGAGGATATTCAGTTATATCAAAAGGTAATACAAATATATCTGAGACTGGCTTGATACAGCGGATGGGCACGAGTACTCGATGGAGACCGCGACGAGCGAGCATGAAAACGCCTTTTTTAAACGTATATCTCTCACTTTTCTGATTGGTTATCACAGCATTTGGGGCGGTTCCTGAGCTCTGATTGGTTATCACAGCATTTGGGGCGGTTCCTGAGCTCTGATTGGTTAGCGCAGCATTTGGGGCGGTTCCTGAGATCTGATTGGTTATCACAGCATTTGGGGCGGTTTCTGAGGTCTGATTGGTTATCACAGCATTTGGGGCGGTTCCTGAGCTCTGATTGGTTATCGCAGCATTTGGGGCGGTTCCTGAGCTCTGATTGGTTATCACAGCATTTGGGGCAGTTCCTGAGCTCTGATTGGTTATCGCAGCATTTGGGGCGGTTCCTGAGATCTGATTGGTTATTGCAGCATTTGGGGCGGGTCCTGAGCTCTGATTGGTTATCGCAGCATTTGGGGCGGTTCCTGAGATCTGATTGGTTATTGCAGCATTTGGGGCGGTTCCTGAGCTCTGATTGGTTATCGCAGCATTTGGGGCGGTTCGTGAGCTCTGATTGGTTATCGCAGCATTTGGGGCGGTTCCTGAGATCTGATTGGTTATCGCAGCATTTGGGGCGGTTCGTGAGCTCTGATTGGTTATCGCAGCATTTGGGGCGGTTCCTGAGATCTGATTGGTTATCGCAGCATTTGGGGCGGTTCGTGAGCTCTGATTGGTTATCGCAGCATTTGGGGCGGTTCCTGAGCTCTGATTGGTTATCGCAGCATTTGGGGCGGTTCCTGAGCTCTGATTGGTTATTGCAGCATTTGGGGCGGTTCCTGAGATCTGATTGGTTATCGCAGCATTTGGGGCGGTTCCTGAGCTCTGATTGGTTATCGCAGCATTTGGGGCGGTTCCTGAGCTCTGATTGGTTATTGCAGCATTTGGGGCGGTTCCTGAGATCTGATTGGTTATCGCAGCATTTGGGGCGGTTCCTGAGATCTGATTGGTTATCGCAGCATTTGGGGCGGTTCCTGAGCTCTGATTGGTTAGCGTTAGACAGCTTCAGACCTGAGAAGTGAAGTGAGTTTCCCTTTCAAACATTGACTGTAAAAACTAGCGCATTCGTGTCCTTATTGCAGGTGCAAGGTGTAATATTACGTTTATGTTCTGCATGTAGGAGATCTGATTACTAATCTCACAGGATGCGTCACTGAACGGGCTTCAGTTACTGGAGCATTTACTCCCGGCTCTTTCTCCATAACGTTGATGCATCATAATCTAGCTGTATTCTTTTCTTCTAGTCATACGTTCATGTTTTCATGTCATATTTTTATTTGTCAACATTAATTTTCGTAACAGTCTTAAAATATTTTCATGACGCACAAGCCCCGCCCCCGCACAAGCCCCGCCCCTGAGTACTCGAGTGCTTGTGTTTTGAGACCTGTCAATGATCGATATGAGAAATAGACAGAAATGCCCATCCCTACTTGATATTACATCACAATGCCAAATTATATGAATATATTTGTATTACAAAATGATCTGAAACTAAATGAAAAGCCGTTTCATTTACAGAAAATACGCTTTTGTGTAATTCCTAAAAGGATGTATTTTCTGCTGTGTGTGTGTGTGTGTGTGTGTCACCTGTGCCTCGGCGCCCAGGTTCTTCTGCACCTGTATCCTGAGCGCCAGCTTCTTGGCCATCTCCAGCTTCTGTATGTTTCCAGCAGAGGGAGCGCTGGGGCCCGAGGCCGAGCTCACAGAGCCACTCACTCCCACAGCGGGGGCCCCTGAGGAGCCCGGGGCCGAGAAGTCCTTCACACGCTTCTTAGAGTTAAACATGCTCTCGATCTGCTCGTCGATCTGAGGACACACACACACGAGGCTTCAGTCACTGAACACTGAGTGAGTGTGTGTGTGTGTGTGTGATGTGAGACTCACGTCGAGAGCCGCGTCGTCGTCATCAGAGTCGTGAAGGCCGAGCGCAGCCTTCTGCAGCTTCTTCCTCTCGTTGGCCAGCGCGTGCTCCGTCTCGTCGAACTTGAAGCCCTTCCCGGAGAACCCGCTGCTGCTCCTGATGCTCTTGCCCTCCTGCGGGAACACACACACACACGTGAACGACCGCGCACACCACACACACGCGTGAATGACGAGAACGTAAGAGAAGGGACATTGGGGAAAGTATGGTGAATGTCTAGTGTTAGTGTGTGTGTGTGTATGTATGTGTGTGTGTGTGTATGTATGTGTGTGTGTGTGTGTGTGTCTGTCTCTCACGGCCTTCTGCTGCTCCTTGAAGCCGGTCCACAGCTGCTCGAGCTCGGGGGGCACGGGTGTGGAGGACAGCTCCAGGGCTTTCAGGATATCCCCAGAGTAGCGCACCTGGTCTGCAGTGATGAAGGTGTACGCGTATCCCTACAACACAGCACACACACGTCAGACACACACCTCTCTCTCCGGTCACGCGTGTGCGGACCTGCTCACACACACTCCTCTCTCTGGTCACGCGTGTGCGGACCCGCTCACACACACGTCAGACACAACTCTCTCTCCGGTCACGCGTGTGCGGACCCGCTCATACACACATCAGACACACTCCTCTCTCCGGTCACGCGTGTGCAGACCCGCTCACACACACTCCTCTCTCCGGTCACGCGTGTGCAGACCCGCTCACACACACTCCTCTCTCCGGTCACGTGTGTGCAGACCCGCTCACACACACTCCTCTCTCCGGTCACGTGTGTGCAGACCCGCTCACACACACTCCTCTCTCCGGTCACGTGTGTGCAGACCCGCTCACACACACTCCTCTCTCCGGTCACGCGTGTGCAGACCCGCTCACACACACTCCTCTCTCCGGTCACGCGTGTGCGCTCACCTTGTTGCCGGCTCTCCCGGTGCGGCCGGCGCGGTGCACGTAGTCCTCGTAGTGGTTGGGGCAGTTGTAGTTGACCACCAGGATGAGGTGCTTGACGTCGAGGCCCCGCGCGGCGACGGAGGTGGCCACCAGCAGACGGCACGCCCCGTTCTTGAAGTCGTTGATGATGCTGTCCCTGTCGTACTGGTCAATGCCTGGGTAACCACACACTCACGTCAGCTTCATCTATACAGCGCTTTAACTATACAGACTGTCTCAAAGCAGCTTTACAGTGATAACAGGAGATTACAGTCACAGAGATAGTTAGGCTTTACAGCAGCTCTAGAATAAAGTTATTATCCAGATAAAGTTAGTTTTGATTGATTCACTTCCGTTGCAGAGATCATTAGTTATTAACTTAGGGGCCGCTAACACAATGCCTGCTCACCCGCACAACAACAGTGTTTGGTGCTCGAGAACGCAAACCCTGAAACAGGTTCCAAGGTGCAAGCGTAACATTTTTTAAACGTCATCTCAGCGCAAACTTAAAAAATGCAAATCCGTGAATACGCTGACGGCGTGCACATGCGCATCACGTGTTTAGTCTATAGGGATGCCCGTTTGAACATACGCAGAGAAAGGAGGATTATAGGATGTCGAGACATTCTTTTATACAACACTTTATTCAACAGGAGAACAGCTCATTGCACATGCGCAGTTCTTTCAGTTTCGGTTTTCAATCCGATCAAGTGTTGACATGTCCTATCGATCGGATTATAAAAGGAATAAACCACCGCTTTTAATCCGGGGGATCGAATTAAATTGGGTTTTAAATTAAATTTATGAATTAAATTTAATTGGGATCGAGCTCAATCGGCTCGATTAAGGCGTTTATATGAAGGCTTTCAGTGCGATTGAGCCATCAATGCGATGACTAAGGGATTATCTGGCTGCATGTACGGGTAGATGTGAGTGATGACCTCTGACCTCCGTGCAGGGACATGCAGGGGTACGAAGCCTTCATCAGGTCCTTCAGGAGGCCGTCGGCGTGCTCCTGCTTGTCCACGAAGATGATGACCGAGCCCTTCTCCTGATAGTGACCCAGGATCTCCAGAAGCTTCAGAAACTTCTTCTCCTCCTCGATGACGATCTGTCAAACACACAACCTGAGTTTCTCACTGACACACACACAGATGCTGTAACATTGAGTGTAACATCAGTAACACTGAGTAACCACTGAGTAACCACTGGGTAACACCGGAGTAACACCGGAGTAACACCTGAGTGACACCTGAGTAACACCTGAGTAACACACGAGTAACACACGAGTAACACACGAGTAACACACGAGTAACACACGAGTAACAGCGAGTAACAGCGAGTAACAGGGAGTAACAGCGAGTAACACACGAGTAACACACGAGTAACAGCGAGTAACACACGAGTAACAGCGAGTAACAGCGAGTAACACACGAGTAACAGCGAGTAACACACGAGTAACAGCGAGTAACAGCGAGTAACACACGAGTAACACACGAGTAACAGCGAGTAACAGCGAGTAACACACGAGTAACAGCGAGTAACAGCGAGTAACACGCGAGTAACAGCGAGTAACACACGAGTAACAGCGAGTAACACACGAGTAACAGCGAGTAACAGCGAGTAACACACGAGTAACACACGAGTAACACCGAGTAACACATGAGTAACACACGAGTAACAGCGAGTAACAGCGAGTAACACACGAGTAACAGCGAGTAACAGCGAGTAACAGCGAGTAACAGCGAGTAACACACGAGTAACAGCGAGTAACACATGAGTAACACACGAGTAACAGCGAGTAACAGCGAGTAACAGCGAGTAACACACGAGTAACAGCGAGTAACACATGAGTAACACACGAGTAACACACGAGTAACAGCGAGTAACACACGAGTAACAGCGAGTAACAGCGAGTAACACACGAGTAACACACGAGTAACAGCGAGTAACACATGAGTAACACGAGTAACACACGAGTAACAGCGAGTAACACATGAGTAACACACGAGTAACACACGAGTAACAGCGAGTAACACACGAGTAACAGCGAGTAACAGCGAGTAACACACGAGTAACACACGAGTAACAGCGAGTAACAGCGAGTAACACACGAGTAACACACGAGTAACAGCGAGTAACAGCGAGTAACACACGAGTAACACACGAGTAACAGCGAGTAACACACGAGTAACAGCGAGTAACACACGAGTAACACACGAGTAACACACGAGTAACACACGAGTAACAGCGAGTAACACACGAGTAACACACGAGTAACACACGAGTAACAGCGAATAACACACGAGTAACAGCGAGTAACACATGAGTAACACACGAGTAACAGCGAGTAACAGCGAGTAACAGCGAGTAACAGCGAGTAACACACGAGTAACACACGAGTAACAGCGAGTAACACATGAGTAACACACGAGTAACAACGAGTAACAGCGAGTAACAGCGAGTAACACACGAGTAACACCGAGTAACAGCGAGTAACACACGAGTAACAGCGAGTAACACATGAGTAACACACGAGTAACAGCGAGTAACAGCGAGTAACACACGAGCAACAGCGAGTAACACACGAGTAACACACGAGTAACACACGAGTAACAGCGAGTAACACGCGAGTAACAGCGAGTAACACACGAGTAACAGCGAGTAACACGCGAGTAACACACGAGTAACAGCGAGTAACACGCGAGTAACAGAGTAACACACGAGTAACACACGAGTAACACACGAGTAACAGCGAGTAACACACGAGTAACAGCGAGTAACACACGAGTAACACGCGAGTAACACGCGAGTAACACAGCGAGTAACACAGCGAGTAACACAGCGAGTAACACAGCGAGTAACACTGGGTAACACTGGGTAACACTGGGTAACACTGGGTAACACTGGGTAACACTGGGTAACACTGGGTAACACTGGGTAACACTGGGTAACACTGGGTAACACTGGGTAACACAGGGTAACACTGGGTAACATGCTAGTAACATGCTAGTAACATGCTAGTAACATGCTAGTAACATGCTAGTAACACTGAGTAACACTGAGTAACACTGAGTAACACTGAGTAACACTGAGTAACACTGAGTAACACTGGGTAACATGCTAGTAACACTGAGTAACACAGCGAGTAACACAGCGAGTAACACTGAGTAACACTGAGTAACACTGGGTAACACTGGGTAACACTGGGTAACACTGGGTAACATGCTAGTAACATGCTAGTAACACTGAGTAACACGCGAGTAACACGCGAGTAACACGCGAGTAAGACTAAGTAACACTAAGTAACACTAAGTAACACTAAGTAACACTAAGTAACACTAAGTAACACTAAGTAACACTAAGTAACACTGGGTAACACTGGGTAACATGCTAGTAACACTGAGTAACATGCGAGTAACACTGAGTAACACAGCGAGTAACACACGAGTAACACGCGAGTAACACGCGAGTAACACGCGAGTAACAGAGTAACTGGGTAACATGCGAGTGACAGCGAGTAACACTGAGTAACAATGGATTTCAGAGTCATTGTGTGTCTGGAGCTGCTGTGCTGTTGCAACTAATAATCGACTCTTGAGTGTAATTACTATTGTGTAGTGTAAGGTCATTTTTGTGCTTGTCGTTCGTTCATCATCTGCACTTTATTTTTCGAGAAGCATTATTCTGTTGCGCTGCTACGACTGCTAGTGAATGAGGTGTTTAGCCTCAGTGTTAGTGCACTCGACTCGCTTGCAGGGGATCGGGTTCGAGACCGACTCGGCTGGTAGGACTGGAGGCGGAGTTTTGGAGGCGGAGCAATGAAGGGGTGTGTTCGTTTGGGTTTCAAATATCAACATTGGCCAACAGCATATTTCAAAAACTACTGATCCCACTTTTAATATACGCATTTGCTTGAAGCTTTCAAGTACTCTTACCCATAACTCCAAGCTAGTGTAAGGCAGGACTCACCACGTGCTGCTCGACGTCGGAGCACACCACGCTCCTGCCGCCCACCTGCACCTCGATGGGCTTGGACAGGATCCGGCGCGCCAACGCCTCCATCGAGCGCGGGAACGTGGCGGAGAACATCACGGTCTGGCGGTCCGGCCTCACGTTATCCACGATCCGCATCACCTGAAACACCACAGATCCCAGATCAGTTATCTTTTTCAGTAACCAGTAATCTAACGAATTACTGTTTCCCCGGTTACAACGCAGTTACCGTTACTGACAAAAAAAATGTGGCGTTACTATAATTGAACTCACTGAA